TGTTTTTCCAACTTTTATTTTAAAAGTCATAATTGAAGCTTAACAAAGTTTGACCCCGTTATTGTCACGAGAGCTGTGCGAAGCCGTGCTCCTGCCCGCCTCCGGCCTGCCCTGGCCCCGCTTCCCCAGGAGCTCCCAAATCATGGGCTTGTCTGCGCCTCCGCTGGGCTCAGCAATGACCGTGACCACAAGCAACCTTAAAAGAATGTTTGTTTATTGGGGAAGGGGGTTCCCGCCGTGGGTGGCAGGGGGACGGGAGAGCCCAGGGAACCCCCGTGTCCCCCTCCCACAGTACAGACATGCAGGTATTTTATATTTATAAAAGAAAGGCAGACGGGGGAACTGGGGCTGCGTAGGGGAGCTCCGCTCAGACGGCATCTTCCATAGGGACAAATAAAAAAATACAGCCAGGCCAGAGGGTCACGGAAAACCATCATCATCGTCCTCTGCCATCTCTTTTGCGAACTCCAGGTCTTGCTGCTCACGTTCCCGGCGCTCCTGGAAGGCAAAGGCAGAGGTTGGTGGCAGCTGGGGGACAGGAGCCGTGTCCTTCCCGAGGCCTCGGTGGCTGCTGGGCTGCAGCACAAGCAGTTTCTGGAGCAGGCTGCAGAGACCCAGATGAGATCTCACCTCTGCAGATTCCAAATCCTTGTTGTAAGATTTGGGTGGGAACCTCATAGCCTGGAGAAAAAAAAGAAGGGAGAAGAGAAGCTCTGAGCTGAGAAATGACTCAACTCTGTCCCGCTGTCCTCTCCAGCCGGGCCCTGCTGTGCTCACCTTGACAGACATGTTGTGGATGTCGAGGCAGAAAGAGATGCGCTGGTGAAACGCCAGCTGGGGCTCCCGGGTGGAGTAGATGTCGATCATTTCCTTTGACTGGACGTAGCCCTTCTCGTGGTTAATGCTGGCTTCTATCACACCGTCCCGGATGGCCTGCAAGCCGGAGGGCATGCGGTCAGGGCACCCGCTGTCTCCAAGGGCTGAGGCAGCAGTTTAGAGTGAAGGGAGGAGCTGGCTGCTGTGACAGGAGCGCTGGGCTCAGGGCACAGAGAGGGGACTTGGTGCCCTGAGTGACCCCAGGGCCTCAACCTAAAACCAGCGACTGCGCCAGGAAGGACATGGAGGGGCTGGAGCGTGTCCAGAGAAGGGCAATGAAGCTGGGGAAGGGTCTGGAGCACGGGTCCTGTGAGCAGCAGCTGAGGGAGCTGGGGTTGTTTAGTCTGGAGAAGAGGAGGCTGAGGGGAGACCTTATCGCTCTACAACTGCCTGACAGGAGGGGGTAGGGAGCGGGGTGTTGGTCTCTTCTCCCAAGTAGTCAGTGACAGGATGAGAGGAAATGGCCTCAAGCTGCACCAGGGGAGGTTTAGATTGGATATTAGGAAAAATTTCTTCACAGAAAGGGTAGTCAGCATTGGAACAGGCTGCCCAGAGAGGTGCTGGAGTCACCATCCCTGGAAGTGTTCAAAAAAAGGGCAGATGTGGCACTTTGGGACATGGTTTAGTGGGCATGGGGGTGTTGGGTTGATGTTGGAAGGGACCTCTAAGATCATCAGTCCAACCCTTAGTGATTCCTAGTTTTTACTTTCATTAAAAAATAATCCAGCCACCAAGCCATGAAATTGCTACTCTACCCTTAACTGGTTTTAGTGATGGACTTGGTAGTGTTAGGTTAATGGTTGGACTGGATGATCTTAAAGGTCTTTTCCAACCTAAACAATTCGATGATTCGATGAAGGAAGTGCTGCAGGGACAGGGCAGAGGTGGCCTGGCAGGGGAGTGAGGCCAGCTGTGAGAAACAGGGGCTGTGGGTAGCCCAGGACCCAGAGGGACAGGACTTCATTGGCACCTACCTTGGCGACAATGAATTCCGCATCCTCCGGACTGTCCAGCTGCAGCTTCTGGGCAATATCAGCCAGGGAGATGCGAGAATAGGAGAGGCTGATCATACGGACACCTGCCAGGGAGGAACGAGAGTGGAGCCCCCTGGGCCAAGCAGCCCTGGGCCTGCCAAGCCCACGGCACTGGCCGTGACGGGGTCCCCAAATGCCACAGCGGCAGCCTCCTACCCGTCTTGATGACATTGTGCCTCAGCCGAATGATCAGGGTGTAAGTGCCATCGGCCTGGAACTTGTCTCCAAACTGATCGAGGACTTGGTTGAACTTGGCCAGGTTCCCGGTCCTGACGGCTGGAGGAGAGAATGTGTTAACTGGGGAAGGAGCGAGGGCCGGGGCGCGGTGGGGAAGGCAAGGCAGGGCTGACCCCCAGGCCCGCCATCCCCTCCTCTTAGGGGCTGCCTCCTCCTCCCCAAGTGGAGTCTGCAGCTGGGTCCCATTGAGGGCAGAGGAGAGAAACCCCCACCGCTCCCCTTGCCGGGGCTTCCCGCTCCCTCAAAGCGTGGGACGTCACTGTGAGGGACCAAGCGCGGGCAGGAGCGGCCCATCGTACCCTGAGTCAGGAGGAAGTAGGGCATGAGCGACCGCTTGAGAGAGGGTTGTCTGAACTGGAGCCTGTCCGGGATCTCCCCGAGCAACAGTTCCACCACAATGAGCAGCTTGTGCACCTTGAGCAGAAAGAGAGCGTGAGTCCCTGCGGGGCCCAACCCCGGAGGCAGCTTCCCTGGGGATCCAGGAGGGACCGGACCCCGCAAGTTTCCCATTCCTGCTCACCGTCTGCTTGAAGCCGACAGCCGTGTGCTGCGGTGCCTTCCGCAGGGCGTTTGTCATGGTCCTCCGTGCCTCCGAGTACTCCAGCTGGATGGCCTTGATGCGCCCTGTGTTCACACGGGGCAGAAGGCGTTTGGAAAAGCCACTGAGTGAATCCAACTGGATCCACTTGGATGGAGCTTCAAATCCTGCTTGGAAGCCCCATCTCCAGCTGCTAAAACAGGTTCTCTGAGGAACCAGAGCCCTCGATCTCAGGTGCAGCCCGAGCTGCCAGCGCTGTGCGGGACCCTCTGCATCTCACCTGTGTAATAGAGGTACCGAGCCCACTCGTTGTTGTTGGCCTGCTCGGGAAACACGGACTTGGAGACGAGTTTTTCTGCTTGGTCATAGAGGTTGTAGTGGAGATAGTTCCTCAGCAGCAGGTTCAGGAGGGTGGCCTGCCCATCTGCATCATGGCGCAGCGTGGCCGTCCGTAGCCGGGCATGCAGGAAGCTGCAGGAAAAGGAGAGAGCGTGTCAGGGAGGAGGAAAGAAACAGCTCTGCTCACCAGGGCACATGGGAGCACGCTCGGGGAGAGCCCGCACGCAGGATCCGCCCTACCTCCTGACCACGTCGAGTTTATTCAGGAATTCGTAGATGCGGGAGTGGTAGTAATAACATTTGGCCACCACCAGGTCAAGGGCGCGGCGGTTTTGGGAACTGATCTTCTGCATCAGGTCGTCGGACACTTTCTGAGCCTGCAGGAAGGGAACAGAGGTCAGAGCGGAGGAACTGCTGCCTGGGAAGAGCAGGAAGACTGCCAGGGCTGCGGGACTGAGCCTGGGGGCTGCCTCCAAACACAGCGGAAACAAAGGGGAAAGTGTGGGGCTACAGACAGGCAGGTCCCTGAGGCTCTCCTCTGCCTGGTGCAAAAGCACCACAAGAAGAGCTCAGCTTCAGAGCCGGCAGCACAGGGAATCTCACCTCTGGGTATCGCTTGCTGTTCATCAAGTAGATGACGAGAAGCAGTTGGAGGTAGGTCTCCACTTCTGGCAAGAGAGGGGCTGAGGCCGCCTTCCCTGTCCGGGGGCGAAATTGCAGCTCGGCTTCCGTGTCCATGGACTGGGGGGAGAGAGAGGCGCTGGACCCCCGGCCCTCCCGCGTCGCTACCGCCCGCCCGGCGCTCCTCACACCTCCGCCTGCAGTGAGGCCCGGCCCCAGCCCGTTGACAGCTCTGCTTGACGTGTGACAAGAGAGCCAGTTCAGGCTGCCGACGCGACAGTCCTATCCCTGCCAAGAGCTGCAGCGACCCATTTCATCTCATCTCAAACGTGCTCCCGAGCAGCTGGGCTGCGTGTCCCAAGCGTCCCCAAGCCCTTGCTGTTCCCGGCATCCTCCCACCCCGCACAGCGGCACTCCGGAGGCTCCTCTGTGCAGGAGACGTGTCCCCTCCGCAGCTGGTCATCTCTCCCCATCCCCTGCCGCCGTACCTCCTCCAGGAAGCCGAGGAGGAAATCCCGCATGGTGCTGTTGGAGGTGAAGAAGCCATT